TCTTAATCTGGCCCTGATTTGAGTGTAATGTTCGTCAGTATTAAACATGTTCTTCACGTACCAGCAGGTGGCGCCATTGAAATCTTTTTGCTTGAGACTTTTTTTAGAGAATGTATTTTTAAATCCTAAAAACAGTGTTATTCTGCGTAGGCATTGGTAGGGCTGTGATGGTCACCGTGACCACAGCGTCACCTCGGTGGTCAGTTGCCACAGCGGTTGTCCATTGCCCCCGGTGGTAGCACGTGACGTCACGCACCTATAAACATAAATTACCGTTATGTTACCTTTATGTTAAGTATTAAATTTCTGTTAGAATATAATATTAGACGCGATACAGCAAGTTCAAGTTCAACCCTGATTCTTGTTGAAAAACCCAGTCTTACATCTGGGAACATTCTGGATTTTTGCCGACCGAGAAATGTGAACCAATTAATTTGAATTAAGCTTTTTGTAGTTTTTTTGAGTGTTAAAAAGTGTTTTAATATTTACCGCGGAGAGTCCAAACACTGAAGAGCAAATCCATCAATGTGCAGCTCCACAGGTCCCGAACCATGCAAACCAGTGGACATTGATGGCGGCGAGAGAAAAAAAGCCACGTAGGCTATAATCAACTCCTTTCTTTTAAACGCAAAAAGCCCAGCTAGTCAGCCAGGTATGGCAGCGGCATTTCCAAAAAATGGCCAGATACATGAAGGACATTGACAAGAAATGGAGCAACATAATTAGTAGTTAAGAATGCCCCGCTCCGCAGTGTAGAGATCTGCTAAATAAAATAACTTGCGAAAAGGATGCAATAAAAAATGCAAGCTCTTAATCATTCTTCATAATCTGATTCGTACTTGCAATAAACCTATATTGTGCAGAAAAGAACAAGCCCTAAAACAAAGTCTAGAGAGAGAAGAGTAATTATTATGCAATTAATATTAGTGAATATTAATGATCATAAATCATTAATTTATGACACTGTAAACTTGACTTGGCTGGCTGATCATCTTTATACCCAAAAAGGCATTTTTAAGTGTCCTAACTTAAGACTGCTGCTGCATAAGGGGATGTTTCTTATTACAACTTTTAGCGATGTCAAAATGAAAGCAAACTTTAAAAAGGGTTTTGTTTTATTAATTGTATAGCTTATTAGTTTTAAATATAATATAATGTATATATATTTAATATATATATAATGACTATAATAATAATAATAATAATAGTGTAGACTACTGTGCAGTGTCCAACAAAACATTTTATTAGGTTACTCTAATAGACCTAATCCCTAACTGAAAAACGAATGTGAAAATGAAAGGCAGTTGCGTCTGTGCTAAAATGAATTTAAGCCCCACACCCCTAAATAAATTAAATAAACACCACAACCGCCACACTTACCACCGCGGTAGTAAAAAATTGCGTTTTCAAGGTATACCGCAGTTTGGAAAAGTCAAGGTTTTAAAACTGCCAATATTTTCTGCTGTACTGTCCCTACGGTATATGCAAGGGTTTTTATTTTATGTTATCAATTTTTCAGGACAACAGTATCTCCAGCACATTGACACCTTTACTGATATGAAAATGCTTTTTGATGCGAAATTAATTTATACAGTTATTCCTTAGGCAGATTTTTTAAAAAAAATGAGTAGACCTAGACTACTATAATTAAGCAAATATTCTCTAAATGTAGACCTCAATACATTGATATGCATTGAAATACATGATGAATACTCTTGACACATGAAAAAGTAAAGCCTGCAGCTCACAACAAATGTGGAAGGTTATTGCGTGTCATATTTAACAAACTGTTTACTGCTAATGTTATGTAATTTAGCTGACATGGATAATTGAATATTAATCAAATGATGTCATTACACTGCTGTGCTGTCAGCCAATCGTTACATTGCTGATCATGATTTAGAGGATCGATCTGTCCTTCACAACACACAAAGATCTCAGATCAGTTCATCCAGACATTCTAATCTGATTCTTGAACTTGTTTGATGAACCAAATTAGCCAGAGATCAGTTATCAAGATTAAAAGATCCAGGCTCTGCTAAATCATCTTAGATCTTTTAAACGAGGCACGAAGAACGGACCCCAGGTCACTGCTACAAATGACAATTTTTGTATGTCGCTGTTTGTCATTGTACTCCTGTTATCCTGAGAGCTGATGCTGAGTATTCTTAGACATTTTCATACTTGAAATTGTTAACCCTGGGTCATTCTAACCCTAGTTAAACATTCCTGGGTTGTCTGTAGTTACCATCCACACTGCTCATGCTATACCTGGGTGTTAATTACCAGACGTTTCACATTCGCAAACCCCCGGGTTAACATTATTATTTGTATATTTCCGTTGTCACTGTCCCTGATTGGACAAATAGCAGGTAACCTTTTTAGATGGCATTTCTGCATCTTGTCGGGTATATAAAATGTCATAACGTAGGTCATCTAAGCATCAGAACATGCACAAAGCCAAGAAAACAAGGACAAGTACAAGTGAAGCTTGTTTATAAACTTATTTCGAGAGAATCACATGCTTAGAATTGCTTGCAGCTGGTCTCGCACTATTTAATTTAGGATTCACCAATCAGACGATTCCTAAACCACTATAAATACCCTGAGTTCCATATCACAGCCATCTTCGTTTCAAAGAATCCCACCTTCCACCCCTACTTCTTCTCCTTTCCTAGATCGGTGGCACAAAAGCCCTGAGGTTAACACTGTTGCCTCATAGCAAGAAGGTTACTAGTCCTTACCAAGCCAGCTGACGTTTCTGTGCAGAGTTTACACATTCTCCTGGTGCTCACGTGGGTTTCTTCCAGGTTCCCCGGTTTCCTTCCACTGTCCAAAAACATGCAACTTAAGTTACTTGACTAATCCAAATCGGCACCTTAGACATGCTCTTAGTAAGTAGTTATCTCTTAAGAGCAATCACTTTCTGTTTATTAGCTACTAGAGTAGATTAGTTCTCAAGATCTATCCGAGCTTAAACTTCCCTTTCGCCTTGCAAATGGCAGGGAGCCTCAGGCTTGAGGATTGTTAATTGTAAACACTTGGGGCCTTATCATACACCAGGCACAATGTGGCGCAAAGCACGACACAATTGTTATTTGCTACTTTCAGCTCGGCGCAAGGGTCATTTTGAGGTGTTGCGCCACGCTGTTTAAATAGCAAATGCATTTGCGCTCAAATGTACGCCCACAGGCGTTCTGGTCTAAAAAAACAGGCGTGTTTTGGCGCGTTGCTATTTTGAGAAACTGTAAATAGTCTGATCTTTAGACCAGAACAAAGTCTGTCTATTGTCTGGCGAAAAGTGCGCATGGCTTACACACTACACACAAGATGTAGAGCAATACGCAAATATCTTTACATATGAAAAAGATATAATATATTAAGGATTTATATAATAAGGATATATATAGGATATAAATATAAATGATTAAAATATTACAAAACATATTAATTTCTAGCCTACATGAATTTAAAAACCACAGCCTTCATACTTTCTTCATCTCGGGAGGCTTTTTCAGTTCATTCAATTTGCTTTTGTATAATGTTATTAATATTAGCAGTATTATTTATTATATCCATATTTATATTTGTTTTATTAAAAACAAGCTTAGATTTGTCCACCTGTCAGGTTTTAGACCATATGGGGCACAGCATGTGTATTTGGAAATAACTCAGTATTTTGAGCACACTTAATTTTTATTGTTCATTTATTCGTTTGCTGGAAATTAGAACTGAATTTAGAAATCGTTTTGAAACAAATCTTTGCGCTTAACAAACGTAATTAATTATTTATAGGCTAATTGATGTCTGTGCGTTAAGGTTTCCCTATCCAAAAGAGCAAAAGCGAAAGTGAACTTACTTTACGTCATGTAAATATCAATGCTCTGATGGCGCGTTGCAACTGGCTCTTAAAGGTAATGGGAGATGAGACTCTGATTGGTTTATTCTAAAACACACCTATAACTCATTAAGAAAATAAACTCAACCCTTTTAGACCATGTGCCATGGCGCAAAGCGGATTTTCCCGTCCTTATATTAGAAAATATAGATTATGACACACCCTGAATGCGTTAGTGCCCTGCGCTTTCCGTTTTGCGCATAGACCGTCAAAATAGAGCTCTTTAATTGAATGAAAACAAGTAGCAAAGTATGTCATCTTGCCATCTCCTCATCACTCCAGTTTACAGGAAACATGACATTAAGCATTTGCATATGTTCATTCATTAATTTTCCTTCGGCTTAGTCCCTTTATTCATTAGGGGTCACCACAGCGGAATGAACAACCAACTTATCCAGCATTTATTTTAAACAGTGGATGCCCTTCCAGCTGCAACCCAGTACTGGGAAACATTTGTTATATAACACAAGTTAAATACAAGAATGCAAACTCACAAAAATAAGCGTAAGTTATGCATACTTGCCATGAACATGCAGGAATTGTCTCACTCGGGTCTTCCAAGCAAGTTGCAAATGTTTAAATCCAGTGGAAGATGCACATGAGGAAACAACATGAGTAATCTAGAGCAAGTCCATTTGATCATTTACATTTAAAGCCACAGGCACAAAAACAGCTTGGTTTTCCTCTGACCCCAAAATTAGATATTCTTTATTTTGTATAAGGTATATGATCTGATTTTGAGCTGAAACCTCAGACACATTCTGGCAATACCAGACTTATTTTATATCTTGTAAAAAAAGGTTCATAATAGGAACTTTAGAGGGATAGTTGACGCAGAAATAAAAATAGCCTCACTATTTACTTTCCCTCATGTGGTTTTAAATCTTTACAAGTTTATTGATCCTGTTAAACACAAGATCTTGTGGAAAAAACGCTGGCTTTCTTTGTGTTCCAGAAGAAAGGAAATGTTTAAAACCACATGACAGAGAGTAAATGGTAAAGTCATTTTCATTTGTGGGTGAAACATCCATTTCATGCTTGTCGCTTTGTGCCTTCATACTAAAGTTCACTTTTTTTTTTTAAGACCTGATGGTGCTGAAAGAAGAGACTCAATGGAATGAAATGGAAGAGAAACATCAAGACATAACGACTGATGAAAAACCCACACTCACTAAAAAGACTTCATTACGCGGAAGACCTCGGAAATCCAAATCTTTTTTCAGCAGTAAACAGTGTAGAAAAAGTTTCAGTCAAAAGCCAAAGCTTGATGTTCACATGAGGGTTCACACAGGGGAGAAACCTTACACCTGCGAACAGTGTGGAAAGAGTTTTCCTAAAATCCATGGCTTTAAGGCCCACATGAGAATTCACATTGGAGAGAGGCCGTACAAATGCCAACAGTGTGGAAAGAGTTTTAAGCAAAATAGCAACCTTGAAGTTCACATGAGAACTCACAATGAAGGAAGAATTTTTACTTGCACACAGTGTGGAAAAAGTTTTGCTAAAAAACACAACCTTAACATCCACATGAGGATTCACACTGGAGAGAAACCTTACACATGCACAGAATGTGGTCAAAGTTTCCCATATAAAACCACATTCAATATCCACAGGAGAATTCACACTGGAGAGAAACCTTACAGATGCACAGAGTGTGGTAAAAGTTTCACACATAAAACCACACTCAATAACCATAAGAGAACTCACACTGGAGAGAAGCCTTACAGATGCACTGAGTGTGGTCAACGTTTCCCATATAAAACCACACTCAATAACCACATGAGAACTCACACTGGAGAGAAGCCGTTTGCATGTGCTCAGTGTGGAAAGAGCTTCAGAGCCAAAGCTAGCCTCATGAATCACACGAATCTTCACACTGGAACCATAGTGTTCACATGTGATCAGTGTGGAAAGAGTCTCACACACAAAGACTCCATTAAGAACCATATGAAGACTCACTCAGGAGAGCGTTTTAGATGCAGTGAGTGTGGAAAGGCCTTTAAACATAAAAGAAGCCTCAGCGCTCACATGAAGCTTCACAATGGAGAGCAGAGTCCTCAACATTGAGGCCTTATCCACACAAACACGGGTATATTCATAACAGCAGCTTTTTCATGTAGTTTGACTGTTCATTCATGTGAGAAATGACGAAATCCTTTCGAGCGGATCACATGCTTATGATTGTCCACGGCTGGTCCTGCATTAGCTAACGCATGATTCATCAATCAGATGATTCCTGATTCAATATAAATAACTTGAGTTTCTTACTTCCGTTATCTTCATCTTGACGAATCCCCCCACTCCCCTCATTTCTAGATTGGGCAACGCTGTGGCTAGCACTGTTGCCTCAAAGCAAGAATGTCACACGTTAAAGTCCCCACTGAACCAGTTGACATTTGTGTGGAGTTTTGTTCATTCACCTGGTGCTCGCGTGGGTTTCCCCCTGGGTTCCTTCCACAGTCCAAAATCACATGACCTAGGTAAACTGAACATTATAAATTGGCACCATAGTCGAGCTCTTAGTAAGTCTTATATCTCCCTTTAGCATTCTCTATATATGTCATTAGAACAGAAACAAGTCGTTCAAACTCCCCTCTCGCCCTGTTTACGGAAGGGAGCCCAGGGCTCAAGGATCCAATGAGCTTAGAGCTCTCTCGCGGAACAAGTGTGAACTCTTGAATACATATCCAGTTACTGAAAATGAAACCCTTTGAATACCTGAAGATTTAAACTCAACAACTGAAAAGGGGTGAAGATTTTACTGTTTTATAGTGTAGGTGAGGGGTCAGATCAGATTGTAGTGTGCATCTGAGTTGCTGCCGCACTGCAAGAATGCAAAATAACTCTATATGTTAATAGATTGTGTGGCTTGTTTCATATGCAAACAAGTATCTGCATCTGAGAAGGTCTGAACCAAATGGTCTACATGAACTCAAGAGTTGTGACCCAAGCAAAGTTGTTGGGTTATCTCAGAAGGGTTACATCCTTTGTTATAAAGTAGTCTCTCACAGACTGTACTTTGGATTAAGTTACTTGAAGACAGACAAGTTAACATCACTGCTGAGAAACTGCACTATTCTTTGTCTTCAATAAAGTCTTCTCCCCGTAAGAACTTTGGTCAGCTTACTTATTTTATGTATTAGAGTCATCTAATACATTGACGAGCCACCCAAGAATGGTTCAGCCAAATACAGCAAAATCTGACAATGTGCTTCCACTATATTATGAACCGATATCTATAATTGTGCACAATACACACATTGTGAAACTGCAGGGGTCAACACAATTCTTTCATGTTGTCGCAACACAAATTAAATTAACTTAACACTTTTAACAAATTTTTGTAAATTGAACATAAAAAATTAAGTTGTCCCAATGAAATCCCAAGAATTGTTTAATCAAAAATAAAATAAAAATTGATTAATAAAACATTTTAATTAATTAGTTTAAACAAGTAAAAATGTGTGTGTGTGTGTGTATATGTATATATATATATATATATATATATATATATATATATATATATATATATATATATATATTAGTGCTGTCAATCGATTAAAAAAAATAACTAATTAATCGCACCTTTATGAAAATTAATCTCGATTAATCAAATTTAAAAGACAGAAATTTGTCATTTCCGCTATTCAAATGTAAAATATATGTAAACGCAAGACAAAAACTATTTAAATTCAAAATATAATTTTTTATTAGAATTTTTGTTTAACTTGTTACACAGATTTCATGTAAACAACATATCTATAATAAACCATCAAGATCCTGGCATGACAGGCATATTTATTACAGAAATTAAAACACAGTCATGTTAGTGCCATATGAATTTCAAATCAATCAATGTATTGAATAATAGGAACCATTTTTATTATTTTTTGTCTCTTTTCTTTTAATCAAACAATTATTTGTATTGGTCATGTAAGGGTCATATATTAACTGAACTTTTAATGTTGTGGGTGAGTGCTGTGCATACTAATTAGCATTTTTGCAGAAGTAGATAGATGCGGGTCCAAAATTAAATTCAGCTCTGCAGAAACTTCCTGTCTGAATAGAGGTGTTAAAACTGAACACAGAACACAGAAAGATGTATACTTTGTTGTTGTGCAGAGAATTCGTAGAAAAAGAGGAAGTATGTTGAAGGTGCGGCCAATGGAGGACTGAACAATGACTGACAAGTGACGTTACACCAAAACTCAGATCAGTTGTGTATATATGCTGAGGTCAGGAAATGTATGTTAGTTGCGAACCTCTTGAATGTAATTCTTGTATTGCATTGGGGTAATGTAACCCAGAGCTCTGTCATCGAATTATTCATTTGTATCTAATAAATTACTAATATTTTTGACATTGAAGAAAAACCTCTCCAGACCTTTTCTTATTGAACACGCATGGAATAGAGATAGATATTCCAACAATTTGGTGACCCCGACGTGGAAAAGGGGGAGAGGAAGTTATTGATCTGTCGTATTGCATTGACATCATCGGCGCCGAAAAATAAGGTAAGCAGAAAACCTGTTAAATCGAATTTCTGCAATTGGCCTAATCTAAATTGTTTAATGTCATGTAATATGTAGGATTGATGTAGTTAAAAGTATAAGCATTTGAATAATTCGATGAGTTTAAATGTATATATGCTTTAAATGTTAACCAGTCTGTCAGAATAATATGAAGAAATATATAGGGTAGTTTAGAATAGTATAGAATAGTGTAGAGAAGCCTAATAGTTTAGGATAGAGTAGTATAGTGTAGATACAGGAAGGCCAGGATGGGCTGAGACTGTATTGCACAGGAGACCAGATAAAGCTGTGACTGTGCAGCTTCGGGTATTATTACGGTTTCGTCATATGGCATTCACTAAGTAAATCAGAACATAAGTTGATACACTTTGACTGTTTTTGCTTGTTTGGTAGAAGGAAAGGTCAGACGAGGTCTGTGCTCCTACACTGAATTGAATATAATACCATCCTAGGGTGTGCTGTTCAGGTGACTGCTGTCTCTGCGAATACTGTAATTTTATCTAGGCAACGGCATTGACGAATGCTGAATATTGGGCTATAAGGGCGGGAGTCCGAGGGACGAGCCGACGGGTGGTCCCGAACAGTCTGGGTGCAAGCCCCTACGTTTTAGTAGGTCCAAGCGTTAAAGACAGCTATAGGGTGAGATTGTAAATAAAATTAGGGACAGTTTAGTCGCCGAGGTTGTGACTGTGTGTGGATAATTTGCTTCACTGAGGTTGTGAGTCTGTAGAAAATACAGAGAAAAGTCGACTCTGTTAAGGTGTAGTTGATTAAACATACATAGAAAAGTCGACTTTGTTGAATGCGAGTGTAAATATAAGAAGTGACTAGAAGTTGAGACTTGTGAAAAGCGCGCATTTTATTTTATGTAAATGTTTGTCTGTTGCGTTAGTGACTAACAGTTGAAATAAGCAAAGTGTACAGATATTTAGCCGGCTGTATATAAGCGTATATGATATTCAATTAAATGTCATTTAGAATTGTGAAAGTCCAGTAATTGGGAAAGTGCAAGAAGTTTGCAGGTGAAAATTTGATTGTTGGAGGAGGATAAATATTTTTTGATTGTGTATGTGCAGTAAATGCAACATACAGAAGTTCATTAGTGTGTGTGTGTGAAAAACACTGTAAATTTGAGGAAGTGGAGGTGTGAAAAATGCATAAGTAATTCGATTAAGAATGTGAGCAATATGGAAAATGTCCCAGACAAAATTAAAAACTCAATGGGACAAGTGGTAAATGATTGGAACTAATAAGAAAAAATGTGGCAAAGAAATTAGAAACAATACACTGTCAGAAAAAAGGGTACGGTTGGGGTACATTTGTGAACACTTGGGGTACAAATGGTGAAGTTGTACCCTCAATGGTTCAAAGTAGCACCCTAAGATACTTATATGTACCATTTAAGGGTAAAAATGGTACAAATATGTTCCCAACTGTCAAAGGGTCCATGTTTGGGCCATTTAGGGCCCAAAGAAAGGTACAATCACTTGTGTGAAAAAGAAGCAAGTCAACGTGTATGAAATGGTCCTTCATGTATGTTATGAGTTGTTGGTTATTTGAAAGAAATGCACAAAAAAAAACTGTACATTATACATTAAATTATTTAATTATATAAACATGGCCTTATAAATATTATAAATTAATATTTTTGATTTAAGAAAATGTTAACATAAATCCCCCTAAATGTAAAGTGAAATGGCTTATTATACACAGACCTTTCTTTGATTATCAGATTTAATAAACTACTAGAATGGACATACAAGTATAAAGTAGATATATAATTTTTTACAGTCATTGATATATACAATAGGAATTAAAGGTAACCAGCTTGGTAAACAAAGACAGAGTACAACATTGTAGCATTAATAAATAAATTAATTTATAAAACGTAACAGAATAATACTGCCAAAATAATACAGCTGAGAACAAATAATAGATTTAAAAGACCAAAAACTGGCCGTTAGATATACACAAAATGTATTAAATATAATGTTTTAACTACAAGGGGGAGATTGAATCCAGCGGCAGATCCGAGATTGACTGGCCGAAGTAAATGCTGCTGTCGGCGGGGGAGAGAATCATAAAGCTCCACTGAAGCACATTGTCAAAGAAGCGCTGTCTTTTTAAATAAACTGCCGATTCGAGTTTAAAACAACTACATTCTCGCCTGAAATACTCTTAAAACTACATTTTGTGACACATTAGATGATATTTTTTTAAACTTGCGGGTCTGCAAAGCGGGGATTGTCCATTGACTTTCGCTTAGCATTAGCAGGCAGCCAGCAGATTTGAATTCGTGTTGTCCAATAGGATTCTTGCCCGCGCCGTGCATTCATAATGCGAGCTTATTACGTG